GTTTACTGTCTGTCCTTTACAGGAAAGTTTAGTGATCACTACCCTAGGCTCTCTCTTTTTTTCAGAATTTCCGGTATTAAACATTCCCTAGTTTCCATAGAGGGTCTAAGAAAATACTTAGTAATTCAAGAAGAGTTCTGTTTTCTTTGATATAATACTTAAGGCAGAACAGAAGAGTCTGGAGTTCTAGAAGTAGTCTGAATTGGCCATCTCCTGTGACCAGTTTGGTGCCTAGCCTAATTGGCATCAGAGAGGCGTCATCCATCAACTGATGGAAACAGATGCAGATCCACAGCCAAACATTAGGCCAGAGCTCAGGGAATTCTGAAGAAGAGTGGAAAGAAGGATTGCAGGAGCCAGAGGGGTCAAGGACACAATAAGAAAACTCACAGAATCAACTAAACTGGGCTCATATGGGCTCACAGAGACTGAACCGACAAACCAGGGAGCCTGCATGGGACTGACCTAGGCACTCTGCATATATGTGAGAGTTGTGTAGCTTGGTCTTCTTATGGGACTCATAACAGTCAGAGCAGGCACTGTGGCTGACTCTTTTATTGGCTTTTGGAACCCTGTTCCTGATAATGGGTAACCTTGATCAGCCTTAACGCAAGAGAAGGTTCTTAGTCTTGCTGCAACTTGATATGCTATGTTTTGTTGATATACATGGGAGGCCTGCCCTTTTCTAAATAAAAATGGATGAGGGGTGGATGAGGGGTGCAGAAGAGGAAGGGGGATTAGGAGGAGAGGAGGAAGGGGAAACTGTGGCTGGGTCGTAAAATAAGTAAATACATTTGTTAAGAAAAAAATAAGTACTTTCAGTTGTCAAGGCTGAAGCTAAAAAGTTCTTTAGGAAATTCTTCTTTAAAACAAAAGACAACTCCCCTGCAGGAACTAGCCTAGTTCAACTTTAGTGTGTGGAACAACCTAAAACCAATCAAGTTCTTGTTCCATATGTAAAGCAGCCTTTATACTTAGAACACTCATTCATGATCCAGGGAATCTCATTGGAGGCTGATATACTGGGATGTTTTTGAGTCCTTCACCAACAACAGAATACTTAAAATGTGATTTAGTCATTCTACGTTTCAGTTGGGGCCTATTTTGATTTTCTAGTTGCCAAAGAGCAATAGGAGGAAGTCATGACCTTGTTCTACACACATACAGATATAACCCAAAGGACAGACAGGATCACATGACATGTACTCTGCTCAACGGCAGGAGTGATGCAACTTCCAGGTCATGTGTACCCACATTTGTGTCTCTGTGGTCTGGGTAATTGTGAAATGGTTTGTTTTCTGACTAGATTTGGGTACAAAAGGAAAACAGTCACTTCTGTTTCATCAGAGCAAGTGGGGATATCTACTTGATTTTAAACACAAATTCCAACTTAATTTTTACTGTGTATCTATCTTATGTACTTCTTTAAGCATTGTCTCTTCCTCTCTTTATTTATTTCATTACTCATTTTGGTGGTTTTTGAATTTGGTTTTTCTGGTGTTTTGTTTTGCTTTGTTTTGAGGAAAGGTCTCAAATATGTTACCCAAGCTAATGATCCTGCTGTCACATTATTTTCATTTAGATGGCCACTTGCTTTGACCACAGAAAGCTATAGCAATGGCTTTCTAAATAGATTGGTTTTGTTGTTAGGTTTTTTATTTTCTTCTTTTTCTGGTTCACTCTCCTCATTGCTAGATGAACACTATTTAACATTTTAGCAAATAGGTGCAGAGGACTATTTAACATTTCTTGCTGCTGAGCACTTTGCAGTGGCTCCCAATACCAATAAAGGTAATCCACTCACAGAACTTTCCAAACCTGTCTTATCTTTTTTCTCATGCCTTGGCCTTGTTCATACTATGTTATATTTTTAAAAGAAAAGCCTTTCTCCTTTCTTTACAACTTTCCTTATTGTTTATAGCCATTCCTTTCTCTCTCCCCTCTTTCTCCCTCCCTTTTCCACCTTTCTCTCCCTTTTCCTCTCTGTCTGCATCTGTCCCTAAAAGTTTGAGTTCCTGTTTTCAGTGATCTACTAGGATATTGTGTCTCACTTTTAAAATTCTGCTTCTTCTTTTAGGGTTATACATTAATGTCTTATCTTCCTGAAACTTTTTAAACATTTTAAGTCACTTAAAAGGGATGTTTGTGGCTTGCCTATCTTTTTTATCCCACATAACTAGCATAGACTACTGTTCATCTTTGTTTTCATTGCCTACTTTAAAAAAAAAGTGTTGATTCATCAAAAGATAAAAATTTTCACCTATTTACCTTTTTAAAAAAGATTTTATCTTTTTATTTGGAGGGTGGTCTGTGTCTGCATTCATGCACATGTGCACAAAAGTGCCCACAGGGGCCAGGGACAGATCCCCTGGAGCTGGAGTTACAGGGGACTGTGTGCCGCCTCATGTGTGTGCTGAGAACCTAACTCCTATCCTCTGAGAAAGCAACAAGCACTCTTAACTGCTGAGCCATCCAGTTCTTTATTTACTTTTTAAATATTTTATAGCTTTGACATTTTCAAAACCATGATTCATCTTTTGTTACTGTTAGCTTTTTTTTTTTTTTTCATAGGAGGTCTCCCTGTGTGGGCCAAGTTGGCTCAGAACTCATAATCCTATTACTTCATCCTCCTGAGTAGTTGGTTTTATAGGCATGTACCACCACTCCTTCCCAGGCCCTTTCTACATGGATACCCAGTTTCTCCAGCACCAATTGTTGAAAAGACTGTCTTCCATTGAATTTCTTTTGCACCTTTATCAAAACTCAGTGGGAGGCAGCAAGATATTTCAGTGGGTAAAGATGTTTGCTGACAAACCTGGCAACCCAAATTTCATCTCCAGGCCCTAAATGGGGGCATAGAAGGAGAGAACCAACTCCTCCAGGTTGTCCTCTGACCTCAACACTCGAATTTTGGCACACATTGCCCCCCATAAATAAATGTAGTAATAGAGATAAATAAAAATCAGTGGGTATATCATATGGACCTAATTCTCAGTTCTGTTACCTTGTTCTATGTATTTTTAGCTTTCCTCCCATACACACAGTCTTGATAGCTAGAGCTATAAAACATTTAAAATATGTGTACTGGGGCTGGAGAGATGACTTGTTGGCTCAGAGCCCTGGCTGCTCTTTTAGAGGACTCAAGTTCATTTCCAGCATCAACATGGTAGTTCACAACCATCCATGATTCCAATTCCAGGGCAACCAATACCCATTGCCCTTTTTTGGCCTCCAAGGGCACCACACACACAAACACATACATGGTACACAGACATTACAAACATTCATAAAATAAAAAAAAAATGTTTAAATATAGTGCCCTGATTCTATCCATTTTAATCTTTTTTTCCAAAATTGTTTTACCTATTTTCATCCTTTTTTTCTTTTCATATATACGGTAGAATAAGCTTGCCTACATCAACAAAACTTTTCATTGGGATTTTTTAATTATATATAAATTTTGGAAGATGTATTGATTCTTTAATCTGTGGACATGGTATGTCTGTTTAAACATTTAGGAATGCTTTGACCAATTTTATCAACATTGTAAAGGTTATAACATATATGTCCTGCATACACGATGTTTTGTTATATTTATACTTTTCATTTTTTAAAAAAAAGTGATTATAAATGGTCCTGTGGGGTTTTTTCTTATTTTTTCCTTGTTTTCATTGTTGAGGGCTGAGCCTAGGACCTTATTCATGGTAAGCAAGCTCTCAACCATTGAGCTACCTACCCAGCTCCAATGTATGTATTTTTTATTGCCTGTGCTAACAAATTCATTGCTAGACTATAGAGTAAATAGTCTAGAAGTAAATAGATTTTTTTACATAACTTGTATCCTGTGACCACCACGTTCTATTACGTCTTTAGCAGTTATTTTTGGATTTTCAGCTTAAGTAATCATGTCATGAAAATAGGACAGTTTTTTTCTTTTCTTTTGTCTTTTCCTCTTTTTCTGGTCCATATGTTTATTATATCTGTTTCCTGCTTTGTTGCATGACTAGAACTTCCAGCACAGTATTGGAAATGACTGTCTTTGACTTGCTTCCAATTTCGTCGGTCTTTCAGAATTCACTGTAACCTACTTATAACATTAGATATTGGTCTTTTTATGCAATTTATCAGATTCAACAACTTTAACTATATTCATGTTTTCTGAGTTTTAAAAATAAATGTGTATTATTTTCTGCACTGATATAATATTGTTTTCAGTTTTTGCCTTTCTATGTGGTGAGTTATATTTGTTAGTTTCAAAACAGCTCTACCTCCTCATAATAAGCCCCACTTAGTTATCTGGCTCTTTGGATTACTGAATTGCATACAAACCTGTAATCCACTTTAATTTTTTTCAGGATTTTGTGTATATGAGAATAGCCCTGAGTATTTTTATCTTAACAGCATATTCAAGACTTAGGTTTCCATATTGTCTTTGCATTTTGTGCCAGTAATCCAAGAGTAATTTTTCTTATCTGTGTCATGGACATTTTTCAGCCAAAGCTCCCAGACCCCTTCATAAATATTTATTATGTGCACTGCTCAGAATGTACCATGGTATCTATACACTGTATAATATATACTGTATAATATTCTGTATATATACAGCTGATATTTATATAACTGTATACATACTGGATATATCTATACAAGTATATAGAGTTTCATAAACACTGGCAAGGACAGGATTTGATGTGACTATAATTAAATACCCTTTATTTTTATTTTCCTCAACTTTATTGTATATGGTAACACCTCAAGTTTTGATTTTAGTTTAATCTAAGATCTCATGTATATTCCCCTGACCAGTTAAGTGCCATAAGGACTTTATGCTAGAAAGCAATCAATTAATAAACATGTTTTTTGATAGCTATATATGTTCCAAGCACTATTCTAAATATTGTGACTATGGCATGGGAGTATGGCGGTGTCTTGATTACTTTTCTGTTGCTGTGATAAAACACCTTGACTAAGGCAATTATAGAAAAGTTTGTTTGGGCTTATGATTCCAGAGGTTTAGAAAGAAGTCCATCATGGCGGAAAAACATGGCAGCAAGTAACAGGCATGGTAGCAGGAGCAGAGAGCCTCAGAGCCTGTCCCCAGTGACATATGTCCTCCAGCAAAGGTACACCTCCTAAACTTCCCAGACAACAATGTCCCGCGCGCTCTCTGTATTTCTCGCCAGCAAGAAATCATACGCAGGACACTCGGATCCTTCTGCAGACAAGCTTTAATGCATCTTACCAGAGTGGAGACACTAAACCAAGAAAACCATCCCTTATAAAGGCTGACCAGCCGCCTGGGACGTGTTACCCTATGAATGGCTTTAGCTCCTCAGGCCAAAATGAGCCACGGGATAGGCAGAGATCAAAGGAATGGAGATTACCCAGCGCCTGTGAAGTAATTTACATCTTGGTGTCTTCAGGCACCATTATAATGCAGGAAACGGCCCCTTACACAACAACACTAAGTAGGGACCAAGTATTAAAATTTCTGAACCTATGGGGGACATTTCTCATTAAAAACCCCACAGGAGGGATAACAAATGAGAATGAAAGGGTCCCTGTGCTGGTGCTGTTTACATTTCAGGAAGCGGGTGCAGACAGCAGAAAGGGTGTGAGTGCTAATAAGACCAGTGACACCAGTGAAATCAGACACAGAGAAAGAAGAATGTGTACGTTTGCAAGGGGAGAGAGTAGGAGATGAGGAGCAGTTCTTAACAATGTGATGTTTGGATAAACAATTGAAATAAAGAGTAAGGAATGGGAATGCTGGGAGAAGGAGTTTTCCAGAGAGAACAATTAAAATTAAGAGCCTGAGGCAGGTGTGCGCCTGGCAGTGTTTAAAGCCAGTGTGGTGACAAAATGGACTATATTGATGAGAAACAATGAGATGAGACATGGGCTTCGGGCATGTCAGGCTATGTTAGTCAAGTTTTCATAAATCTGTGAGATAATCAGCTTATAGAGAGAAAAGATAGAACATTAGCCCTGGGTGTAATCCTCAGCACTATGAAGAGGGAAAAAACGAGAGAGAAAAAAGAGGCTTATTTTGGATCACAGTTTTAGAGGGTTCAGTCATCAGCCCTGTTGTTTTAGGCTAGAGTAGGGAGCACCTTAGGACATGGACCATGTGTTACAGCAAGCCGCTTATCTCTGGCCAGGGAGCAAACATAGAGAAGACAGTCCCACAGTCCCTTGAATGTCATGTCATCAACGACTTAAGACCTTATTTCTTAAAGGTTCTACAACCCCCCAGATAGCATCACAAGCTGAGACCAAAGCTTTGGAATTATTCAGGACCCAAATTGTAACCTAGGATAAGGGGCCATCTTAAGGAAATTGTTTTTACTCTGAGTGGATAGAGTTTTAATGCAGAGAAGGACCAGTTACTCTGATTTCCAGTCTATCTTGATTTACATCCTATCCTGCTTTCTGACCTCACTTTTGTGAATAGATTGTTGGCTGGAATCATAAAGGGTATTAAAATCAATGCAATTATGGGCTGGTGAGATGGTGCATTTGCTGCCAAGCTTGGTGACCTGAGGTCAGTTCTTAATAGGCATGTAGTCGAAGGGGAGAATTGACCCCAGTAAGTTATTCTCTGACCTATACACACAACACAACACACTGTAGTATGCACACATTTCATATATACAGACACATAATCACACAATGAAATTCGAGAGCAAGAGGGGAGATAAGGAACAGATATTTTGAACTCTTTCACTGACAGAATTTGTTGATAGATTGAATGATGAATATGAGAACTAGTTGACTTTGACACAAGAAGGATGTTATAGCCATAATTAAGATGGGAAAGATTATAGTAGAAAATGAGTCTGAGGGATATTAGAAAGTCAAATTTTGGAGGTAAATAGGAATTGAGACAGAGTCTCATCTGCATACCAGGCTGGCCTGGTACTTACTATGTAGCCCTGCCTGGCCTCAAACTGGCAACAATCCTGTCTTAGCCAAATTCTGAGATGACAAGTGTGAGCCACTGTGTCTGGTTGAAAGTTCCACTTTTAACATACTAGTTTTGAAATGTTTAATAATGGAGAATTGGGTATAGGACTCAGGTTCCTCAGATAGGGCTAGGCCAGGGTCTGACATTTGGAAATCACAGCAAGTAGATGGCTTTGAACCAATGGTGGGTGTAGAAATAGTCCATCAGAGAACTGGCATTGGAACATTCTAGGGCTTAGAGAATAGGAAAATAAAACAGAACTGGCATCTGGAAAAGCAATAACCACATGGGAGATTGAGAGTGGATGCCAAAGCCCATCAAAGAAAGTATGTCAATGAAGGTGACACAATGAAGGTGTGTCAATAATAGGCCATTGTAAAATGTTCCTGAGAGATAATAGTAAGGTCCAAGAACTAGTTAGCAGCACTGGAGTCTTCAAGTCCTTTGATACATCATTCCAGAGGTACAGTGGAGAGCAGCCTAATGGAAGTGCCTTCATATAGGAAGAGACAAAACAAATAAGCATAGTACTATAGAAACTGCTTAAAGCTTAACTGAATAGGAATTGAAAAGCTGAGTCATAGTCAGAGATGAATGTGAAACAACAACAACAAAAAACTTATCTTTTTTCTGCGATGGTAGAAATGATTCTAGCAGGGAATGATGAAGCAACTACTCTGGAGAGGGCACAGTTGTTGAAGTGATGCTCTAGGTGTTGAAAGGGTATGTACCTGGGGAGGAAGTCTGCTATAAATTATTGGGAGAGCTGCCTGTACTCTCCTGTACCAGAGAATGTGGCTGTGGAAGCAGGTCCACTAGTAAATGTGGCATCCGATCTCTTTTTATTGTATTTTCTCATGAAAGAAGAAAAGAGTAGACTAGAGGTTTTGGAGGTTTAAAGAGAGAAGATCAGAGATTGTTCCAGAGAGCACAAAGAAGTCCTGGACTAGGTCAATAGGATTGTTGGGCATTGTGAGTGACCCATGTAAAGGGAAACCAAGTGAGAACAGGTAAAGTAGGCAGAACATTAGACTTAGCTAGAGAATGTAGTTTTGCCAAGTAAACAAGAGAAATGGGAAAAGAAGCAAGGAAATTATAAGGAAGGGGTCAAGAGAGTTGATTACTAAGGAAATCAAGGCCAAAGATAAAAGGTGAGTGTGATGTATTGGTAGAATTAATATAGCTCCCTGGAGGATGGAAGAATTGTGATGATAATACTACTAATAATAAATCATTGATATTTATAGTATTCTGAGCTCATTTACATTAAAAAACTCTCATAAATAGGGTAGGTGATGATAGTGGTAGATTCTCATTCCATAAATAAGGAAGGATACAAAGAAATAAGTAACTTAGTTGAAAACGCATGCAATAAGTCTGTAGTAGAGCTCAGACTCAACCCAAAGCTCTGTAACTATTTAGTGTTTAGTTGTTGGGGGGGGGTTGTTTTACCACTGTGCGTAGAAGACAGATTAAGAGCATATGTAACCAAGCTTTAAATTTTATAATAGGGGATAATAAAAGACATTTATTCAGTAATATAGATGGAATGCTTGGCATGAGCAAGGAACTAAAACAGGTCTTACAGAAACTATGTCAGGACTGAAGAAAAAAAGGGGTGCCCTAAAGGTAGGTGCTCAGAGCATTCCCACCAAGATTTTTTAGCAGGGATTCTTCACTGACATCATGGTTGGTAAGAGGCATACCATAGGAAGTTAGGAAATTAATTTTCTGCTACACTTGGTATAACATTGTTGCTATAACTCACAGTGCCTTAACCTATAAGCTTGTGTTTCTATGGCTTTGCAAATGCTCCCTAACCTGATGTTTTATAAGTATCTAGTCTAAAGGAAGAGTTGCACTACTCCTGCACTCCTATACTAATGTGTTCTAAAACCATCTTCCATTTTTGAGCTGAGAAATCTGGAAAGGTCATGAGTGCCAGAAGGGTTCAGCAGTCCCTAAGTTAATAGACATGAGTCCAGGAAACACCTGCTGAGATTTCAGGTTCTTGTGTTCCCAACATAAAACTAGGGACTAGGGACACAAGGGTAGTAATAGAAAAAGAGAAAGTTTATTAAGAAAAGACAGGCACACTGAAAATGAAGTGGGCTATAGAGCTGGCGGTCCCAGGCCCTCTGACCTTGACAGTCTGGATTCTTTATAGGTAACATAAAACACTCCTCCTTCCTCATTTAGAGAGCTTCAGTTTGAGGGGTTTGTTTTTCTTTTGTTTGTTTGCTTGTTTTTCTTGTTGGGTGATGCTCTTGTTTTGTTGCATATAGCCAATGGCCAGAGGTTCCCAATTTTCCTCTGCCAGTTGGCTTCTTTTATATGGTAATCTTAATTATTTAATTACATATTTGATTGGTGGAACACAAATGCCATGATGCACACGTGGAGATCAGATGATACTGTCATACTCCTGTCATACTCATCTTCCATCAATGATATGTAAGGACCCGCTAAAAGCTTTAAAATAACTAATGGCATCTTCTCCTTCTTCTTTCTATGTCTCTGGTGATTTAGGCCTGGAAGAAACGCTGGTTTATCCTGCGGAGCGGCCGGATGAGTGGCGACCCAGATGTTCTGGAATACTACAAGAATGAACACTCCAAGAAACCCCTGCGGATCATCAACCTGAACTTCTGTGAGCAGGTGGATGCAGGCCTGACCTTCAACAAGAAAGAGCTTCAAGATAGTTTTGTGTTTGATATCAAGACCAGTGAGCGCACTTTTTACCTGGTGGCTGAGACAGAAGCCGACATGAATAAGTGGGTCCAGAGCATCTGCCAGATCTGCGGCTTCAATCAGGCTGAGGAGAGCACAGGTATGACAGCAAGCACATCTCTTCCCCAGGGGACTCTGCTGAGACCTCAGGTTTCTCTAGCCAGGAAAGCTGGCTCTAGTTAAGATTTCTGATTGGAGAGTGTAATAGACTTGGCCTGATATAGAGGGACCTCCTGGTTCTAATAATGCTCAAATGGAGAATCAAAAAAGGTTAGGGTGATGATATTTCAGGTGCCTTGATGCTTGCACAATTTGTCAGCTCTCAACCATTTCTCCCACTCCCTGTTTAGCACACTGTGCTTTGCCACCTGTCAGCCATGCCATAGGGAAGCTCTCCCTTTGATCACACCTCTGGTCCATTTCTATCTGTTCTAGTTCATCTATTTCAGACCATCTGACAGTTTGATTGTTTCTTAGGCATCCTTTGTGGTTATTGATACATAGTCTTGTGTTCCTTTATATCCATTTGAGGACAGATAAAAGGATGAAATGCTGACTTTATGTTTGGGTTTTGATAGCCCTTTGTTAAAAAGTACCTCAACTTGTGTTTCATATGTGGGTTGTGAATACTCATTCAAGCGTATAGAGCAGCCAAAGGTGAACATTGGACATCTTCTTCTGTCATCCTCTACCTTATTTATTCAGATGTAAATATCCTTTCTTCTTAAAAAATCTACCCACTAATTTTAGAATATACTAGTACCTCCCATTTGTAAGTCATTAGCTGTGATTTTTTAATTACAAAAGTTTATGACCACTATAAAAACAACCCTAGGCAGTCTCTTAATAAAATGCAGCAAGCGTCTTCATGCATGTAATATTTTCAGCGTTAAAAGGTATGGTTGCATCAGTAGCAAAATATAAAAGGAGATTGACCCAGACCAACTTAAATGACTTACAAATGCAGGAAAAGTATCTGCTGTACAAGACTGACAAGCTGAGCTCTGTCTCGGAGACTCACAGTAAGAAGAAAAAAAAAAAAAAAACTATCTCAAAAAAATGGCCTCTGACCTCAAACTCACTGTGGCATTCATAATAATGGTAATTATTAGTCCATTATCAGTTTTGATGGTGCTAGACACTAAACACAAGGCCTTTGTGTCTAAGTAAGAACTCTACTATTCAGCTGTATCCCCAGCCCTTATCATTTTTTCTTCAAAATAAATGTAATTTACATAGATCTATAAATAATTCAAAGGTTCTGATTCTTCATGTGAAAGCAAGTAAAGACTCCAAAATGATAACTTATTCTTTAAGTAAATGATACACAGGTGGTAATTCAAGTCTGTAACTCATAAATCATTGAAAGACAATTTTACTCCTTCATGTACTATAACCCATTCAAGAAAATACGAGGTTATGTTTACATCACTGAACTGGCTAGTAATGAACATTTTACTAGTTTATCTTATAGTTCTGAACCATTACCATGTAATTTCAAATGTTAACAATTTAAATGTCTAGATATCTTAAATAGCAAATACCTGTTAACAGTGGGAGCTAAAACATACATGGTTATCAAAACAGTGACTGTACACACCAAATAATTAAATGTAAAATATCATGTCAGGTCCTCTCAGAGAAGCATGGAATAGTACTGAGGATCTCACTGTTAATTTATAATTTGAGAGAATTAAATAAAAGCCAGGAGTTAGGACTGTATGACTGGATAGTTATAGTACAGGGCATGGTTAGTGAGGTCCTTCTTCAGAAAACTGGAAAACAACTCACAGAACAAACAGCCAAGGATCTGGAAAGATCAGAAGATTGTTTGGTCAGTAAAATGTTTGCCACACAAGCATGAGGACCTGAGTTCACTGCACCCACATAAGAAGCTTGTGTAGCAGTAGTGCTGCAGAGAGAGACAGGCAGATCCCTGAAGCTTGCTAGCTAACCAGCCTAGCCAAATCAGGGAGAGGCCCTGTCTCAAAAAAATAAGGTAGAGAGGGACTAAGGAAGACTCCTAACAGCAGCCTCTGGTGTCCATATGAATAATGTGCATATCCATTTGCATGCATACACACACACACACACACACACACACACACACACACACACACACACACACACACACACACACACACACACACGGGGGGGGGTGCATAAACATATTTGGGCATGGTGGCTCATGCCTTTAATCTGAGCACTCAAGAAATCAAGGCAGAAGGATTGCATGAGTTTGAAGGCAACTTGGGTGACAAGAGTTAGAGTCCAGAGACAAAGATCAGTGAGTCAATACTGGTGACCTGAGTTCAATTCCCAGAATGCAAGCTGAGTGTGGCAGTGAGCATCTGTAATCATAGCACACCTACAGGAAATAGGACCCATAGATGGAGTCATCTGGAAACTAACAGCTAGCTAGCCTAGGCAGTGAACCTATGAAGTGGCAGAGTAAAGGGAGGGAATTCATACACACATACACATGCACCCTCAAAACAAGCTTTGCCTCAAGAAACAATCCCTATACCCAAGGAACATCACAGAAGAGATGAGATAGAAAAATTGAAAGAGTGTATTCTGTATATGTCAGGAAAGCTGCACCCATGAAAACTCAACAATATGGTCACCTAAACAAGACCAGCATAATGATTGACATGGTTGACATGCCAGCGTGGATAAGGGAAATCTCACAAGGCCCTGACCCTAAATGAAAACTACACATAAATAATGACTGCAGCAAAAAGAAGAATCAGTCTTCCCCAGGGATAACCCTACTTGGTTATCTAATATGAAGTGGTCAACCCTAAAAATATATACATATGAGCAACACTAAATGGACTCAGCAAGTTGTATTTATACATTCACACACATACACATGTAGCAATAATTAAAGAAAAGGGGACCATAAATTTGAGAGAAGGGGTAGAGTGACATGGGAAGAGTTGGAGGGAGGAAGGGGAGAAAGGATATCTACTGGGGATGGGTAACCCCAATGTCAGTCATTCTCTTCATTTTGAAAAGTCATAGCTTTCTACAGTGGTCTCTACTTAACACAAAAAGAAGTTCTTTCAGGGGGAGCACTACACTTGCCTGTGGGATAAAAGGATAAATACTTAGAATGCAATTAAAATTATACTAGTTTGGAAAAGTGGCAGTATTAAGTTCTCTAGGTCCTGAGGCCTCCACTAACCTTTTGTAGTTGACTAGGTTCACAGTACCAAGCATGAATTCCCTCTTAATGAGTGGGCTTTATGTCCAATTAGACAGCTGTTGATTGTGCTCAAGATGTCAGTGCCACTATTGAACCTTCTGGGATATCTTCCCTGTCATATCTGGGTAGGACTATTGTCCTAGTTAGGGTTTCTATTGCTGTGAAGAGACTCCATGACCATGGTAACTCTTTCTTTAAATTTATTTATTTTATTTATTTAGCATTCTGGATGCAATTTCCACTTCCTCCTCTCCTCCCTGTCCCTACCCCTATCCCCCTCTGTTCCTACCCACCCCCAATCCACTCCTCCATTTCTGATGAGGAAAGGGCAGGTCTTCCCATGAGTATCAGCAAAATATGGCATATCAAGTTGCAGTAAGACTAAGCACCTCCCTATGTATTAAGGCTGGGCAAGGCAACCCAGCATAAGGAGTAGGGTCCCAAAAGCCTATAAAAGAGTGGGAAACAGCCCCTGTTCCCACTGTTAAGAGTCCCACAAGAAGACCAAGCTATACAACTCTCACATACATGCAGAGTGCCTAGGTCAGTCCCATGCAGGGTCCCTGCTTTGTCAGTTCAGTCTCTGTGAGCCCCTATATGAGCCAAGGTTAGTTGATTCTGTGAGTTTTCTTATGGGGTCATTGACCCCTCTGGCTCCTAAAATCCTTCCTCCTCTTCTTCTGCAGGATTCCCTGAACTCTGCCTAAAGTTTGGCTGTGGCATCTGTTTCCATCAGTTGATGGATGAAGCCTCTCTGATGACAATTGGGTTAGTCACCAATCTGGTCACAGGGGTTGACCATTTCAGGCTACTATTGCTATTTCTAGGAGTCTAAACTGGGGTCTTCCTTGTAGATTCATGAGAAAGTCCCTTATGCCAGGTTTTTTATCTGACCCCAAAATGCCCCCCTTCCCAGTAGTGTCTTTAAGTACTCTCCCCCTCCATCACCCCCATCACTTGATTGCTCCTGTTCCCTACCTGTCCTCAGTCCACTCAGGAAATATCTTCTATTTCCCCTTGCCAGGAAGATTTGGGTGTCCCCAAGCCATGAACCCATGAATACTAGCCTCTCTGTGTCTGTGGATTGTAGCATGGTTATCCTTTATTTTACAGCTAATATTCACTTATGAGTGATTACATACCATGTTTGTCTTTCTCAAGTCTGTGTTACCTCACTGAAGATGATTTTTTTTTCTAGTTCCATTCATTTGCCTGCAAATTTCCTGGTGTCCTGGATTTTAACAGCTGAGTAGTACTCTACTATGTAAATGTACCACATTTTCTTTATCCATTCCTCAGTTGAGCGATATCTAGGTTATTTCCAGTTTCTGGCTTCTATGATCATAGTTGAGCAAGTGTCCTTGTGGTATGATTGAGCATCCTTTGGGTATATGCCCAAGAGTAGTCAGTATATCTGGGTCTTGTGGTAGGTTGATTCCAGTTTTCTGAGAAACCATCAACACTGACTTCCAAAGTGGCTGTACAAGTTTGCACTCCCACCAACAATGGAGGAGTATTTCCCTTGTCCATATCCTCTCCAGCATGAGCTGACACGTTTTTTTATCTTAGCCATCTGACAGGTGTAAGATAGAATCTCAAAGTCATTTTGATTTGCATTTCTCTGATGGCTAAGGGTGTTAAACATCTCAAGTTTTTCTCAACCATTTGAGAGTCTTCTGTTGATAATTCTCTGTTTATCTTGTACCTCATTTTTAAAATTGGGTTCTTTGGTTTGTTGATACCTAGTTTCTTGAATTCTTTATATATTTTGGAAATTAGCCCTCTGTCAGATGTGGGGTTAATGAAGATCTTTTGCCATTCCGTAGGATGCTATTTTGTCCTATTGACAGTGTCCTTTGCCTTACAGAAACTTTTCAATTTCATAAGGT